TCAGGCTTCACTACATGCTTAAACTCGTATCAATTTATGGTTCCGTGTTTGTTACCTATTTGCTTAAAACCACTTGCGTTTCTTTTGCTTGTGAGTATAGTATTAAAAACAAGATCAAAATAACTGCTTCCCCAACGTTTCAGAGCATAGACTTACTCCTTCATCAGGTGAATTAATGCTATGAAGCAGATAACAAATATGTTTTCCTGTAAGAACACGAAAGTAATAAGATAACATAGGTGGAAACTTCACAAGGGAAGCCAACAGTTAAATGGCGCTGACAGGTGATAATCAATGGACAAATGAAACATTTAACAGTCTCCGAGTCAATGGCAGAGGCACCAGCAGCGCAAGTCCAAATCCCCTGCAACTGTGGCCACCAATACATTGGAGAAACCCTCAGATCCCTCAACAAGGGTCAAAGAACATCAGACCCCAGTCAACAGACTAGACCTGAAATCCGCTATTTCCGAACACATCATCAAGAATCAAGACCATAACATCATGTTGGAAGCAACCAAAGTCCTGTCTACCAACAACTGGCGAGAAAGAAAACTTCATGAAGAAACTACATCTGGAGACACCAGCCAGCCATGAACCATCACCAGGGAACCTATCTGCTCACTGCTTGGGACTTTTTGCTTTTATTATTGTCTGTGCTAATTATCCAGCTGGCTTCCATTTGTCCATTGACATTTTTTATTGCTATTACCTATCAGTGCTAATTAGCGCCTGTCTGCCGTTTGCCCATTGTCCATTGCATATTTCCAATCAGTGATAATTTAAGTCTTGCTGTCACCTATCAGCGCTTATTATCTGCTAAGTGTTGGCTTCCATTTGTCTATTGCTAATCACCTATCAGCGCCAATTAACTGTTGGCTTCCCTTGTTAAATTTTCACCTTTGTTCTCTTATTACTTTTGTTGTTCTTACAGGTCCATTTATATGTTTTCTGCTTTATAAGCATTAATTCTACTGATGAAAGAGTAAGTATATACTCCGAAGTGTTGTGTTCCTCATAATACAGACGTTGACATCCATAAATTCTCTACTTTATTTGTATCACTTTTAAATGCCATTCAAAGACTACATAAAGGTTTCTAAACCTCATAATCTGACATATAAATCAGAATATTTATGAATATACTATTTGGGCATGGCCTCAGCCCTCCATAATCAAGAATCCATAAAACACGAAAAAATCCTAATACTTACCGACTCCCTAAGTGGACTGCAAGCCCTCCAAAACAAAAATACCAAAAACCGACCTAAATTAATAAATCAAATACTTAAAAGCTCCAACGACCTAACTAAGGCAGGCAAACAAATAACCTTCATGTGGATACCCGCCCACGTAGGAATATACGGTAATGAAAACGCCGATAAAGCAGCTAAACTATCCCTCAAAATCCCAGAAATAAGCTTAAACTTACCCATCTCAAAATCAGAAATTAAAAGTGTAAACAAGCAAAAACTCACAAAAAAATGGCATAACCTATATCTAAACTCAAATAGCCAAATCAAAAAAGTGCTCAGCAAACCACTAACCAAACCAAAAATTCTCCATCCATCCAAAAAAATCGACAGAGTAATCACTAAACTCCAAACAGGACACACCAACCTAAATAACCACCTAAAAAATTGTAAAAAACACTACAGGTCACTGCCCACACTGCAAACAACCAGAAACCCCAGAACACGCACTCATCCACTGCACACACTACCTAACACATGGAACCGCATTACAAACCACCCTCAATCTAAACAAGGCTCTAACTCTAGAAGCAATACTAAACCCACAAAATAAACTAGAAAACTTCAAGGCCTTAGGCGTATTCTTAATAAAAACGGAACTAATAAAACGCATCTAAAAACACAATAACCTACCAAATCAAAATCACATAAACAAACAAACATCCACCATACCCAGCTCCCTTAGTTCTCCTCCCCAATCCCATCGGCATCTATTCCAAATCTCAAAATTCCCAAATTCTATATAAGCAACCCCTAAAACCCCCTCTTGGGTTGCACAGACCACTTTCGCCCCTTTCGGAAACACATTAAATGGCCTGGCCGGGCCCGTGTGCGAAATACGCATCAGTCGGAAAGCGCACGTTAAATCTCCAAAGTAAGTAAGTAAGTAATATACTATTGCTCTCAATACCCAAGGAGTGCACTATTATGATTATATTTGTAATTACATACATATGATACTCCATAAGAGAAAATAACATGAACCAAAAAATGCGTACAATTCATTATGACTAGACTGTCAAATGTAGTCAAAAACGAGATATAACCGAGAAATATCTTTAATCATGGCATAAAAACAATATTGTGGCTATGTAGCCATGCTGCGTTCCAAACACACTTCTGCACTTGTACATGTGTACGTAATGTCGGTTTTCAGTTTCCACAAAAAGCAGTAAATGCATTATCGTGTCACTGGATTTTCTGTCTGGTCTATTTCTTGATCCTCTAGTTTCTTTAAAGACAACCGTCGCATGGAAGGCAACAGACAACGCTTATTGTTCATGCAATTTGTGTGAGTGGCATGTGTTACCGGTAGGGCAGGACATATTTACCTTTTCCACTGATTTTAAGTTATCTATTCATATAATTTTCACGGGTATTTTGCTGTTACGCCCAATGTATTGGCGGACAATGGAGGCTGGTTGTTCTCTGGTGTTGACATTGTCTAACTTTTTAAAAACTATTTTGTTCTGTTATCTGCTGCAATACTGAATTTTAAGATGATACCACATTCATGGTATAAAATAAGTTTGAAACATACATGTACTAAGCTGTAAACTGGCTTTGGATTTATGTCGCTGAAAGGAACAAAATCTTTTTGTGTTAATGACATGTAACACATGTTAGGAGCTAAATATCCCAAAATATCAACATGCTTTGATCATCATAACATGTTCATGAAAAGAGTGGAATATAGTTATTGGTGTCATTAATAAGGTTACCGCCTCTCGCTTGCGAGTCAACACGAGGTACGTTCACATACATCTACTGTCGTAAAAATCTAGGGTCTAGAAGAGTCAGAAGAGAAATGTCAACTGTTATGAGATGTTAAATCGAAACACATTTAGACATTAAATACTTGATGATCTGAATAGTTCATCACTTTGCTTTGATAAATACAGCAGCAAGCGGGAGTCGAGCAAGGATTGTAGAAATGTACATATCTGAAGGGACATGTTTAAGCTCTTGCTTGGTGTTGATGTTGTCGTATTGTAAGCATCTCAGAGCAAGGTACACCAGGTACCCACAATGTTTCATCGGTTTAGAGGATTAGAGAGAGTGGAGGCTGGGACGGTGGAGTGTGCCAATCTCTAATAGGAAGACAGCGATCATACCAGATGACTAAATATTAGCTGAGATAGGTTTCATAAGATCTTATCTTTATCACTATTTAAACTCACATTCTAACTTAACGATTTACTCCTTTGGACCCAATCTTCAATAGCATTATTGCGCTGAGTATTCTCTGTTATATATTTTGTAAGTGAATCGTGAAAGGCAGTTGCACGCTGATAATTGTGATCTAGATGAACATTATGAAACGTGATATTCTTATGATGATGTCTGGTTTTAAATTCAAAGAAGACAGCTTTCTCGACATTGCTGACACATGTTGAAATGTTGAAAAAGTTGTCCGTTTGGATTGAGCCCCCTAGAAATGTCCCCAAACTCTACTGGAGCATTCGTCCTCCTGCTATACTTTTGAACACCCTGGATGACCTAGGTTATGTCCAAGCCTCCAACACTGACAAGGCAGCTACAATGTTCCACCTCTAGTAGATGCTTTCAAGCAAAACATGTTGAGAGCCATGTTTCAGACAACTATATGGCTGCTGATATATCACTCATCTAATCTGCAGTCACAGATCATATGTCATATGAACCTGAAGGCTTGAGTGACAGTGGCAGTGGTGGCAGAGAATAAATATATCTTACTTTATTGGAGAAAAATAACAGATTTGGTAATGAGTTACTGACAATGTTGAAGCAGTTGCATATAAGTGGTTCACATTAACGCTTCAAAGTAAGTCAATATGATCAGCAATTGTATTACATGACAAAGGCGACAATAACACGAAAGGTGGAGTTCCTGGTCGAAACCTAGATTTTTACATTGAAATTTCTTTTAGATTCCGAAGTGAATACGAAATATTGTCATTTTCCTGTATTGGCGGCCATTTTGAAGGCCATTTTGTCCGCAATATTGGATAAATCAAATTTCTCAAGCTCATATTTGTAAGATACTTAAACGATTCACGTGTTCAAATAAAACAAATTAGTGAACAAGATTGTTAGTGTTGTCATAGTATCTTTTAAAATATTTTATTATATATTTGTTGTGTCCTTAATAGGAATGGGGGGTCGGATCACATTTACTAAATTTTCATACATTATTTTATACCTACATTAATTGTGGAGTTTGTTGTAAATTCCTAAAGGATTCAGCACACTGATTATGCTTATAAAATGAGCATTGCAATATGCAACCTGACTTGTTTAGAGCCATTTATTTGATTTACTTAATTTTGACACATAAATGTGCATTTTACCACCAAAAAACATGTCTGCCACCAAACGAAATCACCACAACCATCGTTTTCTAATGCATAAATGACATCTTGTGAAGAAAAATGTGGTTGTTCTTTGTTCTACTGTGGGGAGGGGTTACTCCTAAAATAAGCCTCTTTTTAAGGGTTGGCCGCTGCTTTATATTTCGATCAAACGTTTTGTATTTAAAAGATATTGATGTCAAACATGACAATCCAGTGACTGACATCAAATAATTGATAAAACTTAAGACCTACATAGAAGCATTGTCAAGGGCTTGACCTTGTCCAGGAAGAGGTGACACAGTACGTTCATCGTCTACACTACTAAGTGAATCAATTATTATCATCACTGAAACATTATCACAAAAGATGCAAAACCTCACTGTTCCTTTTGTAATATTTCCTTTTTATTTCTCAGGATTATTCAGTGGAAATTTACCTGACAATGTCATGGATAGACGAGAGACTTATCTTCCTGAACTACTCTAACTCCAAATGGCTTGAGATCGACACTAAACTAATGGCGGACGTCTGGGTGCCAGATGTCTACTTTCGGAACGAAAAAGATGCTTCTTTCCATGAGGTGACGGTGCCTAACAAGTACATGCATCTCTATCCCGATGGCCGTGTGAGATACAGTATGAGGTGTGTTAAATATTAAAAAAAATACTCAGTTATGAAGTAACATGATAAAATTTTGGCTGATCATAATCATTACTTCACAATATGACAAATAAGAAATGTATTTTGATATGGATATCTTATATTATATTGACTATGTTTTGTATGCAATGATAAAAGGTATGTGTGTTTCTGTGTGTGTGTGTGTGTCTGCGCGCGTGTGTGTGTGTGTGTGTTGTTGTGATGGTAACAGGCATGACTACACACCAGCCAATCAGCTGTGATTAATTTTGTGTAGCTCCCACTGCAGTCACAGTGTATTTTGACAGCAAACAAGCATGGCTGAACCTATTAAAAAATAGCCAGGATATCGATTCGAATCGTGCTAAATCCATTTTTACAAGGCTATGTAAAACTTTGCATTTAGGAAATAGGTGAGGTAGGACGTGTATTGGATTTGACAAATATGAAATCGAGTTTCATAAATGGAGAAACATTTAACAATTTTTTATATATTAATCATTCGCTGGGAAAGGTATTTATATCCAGTCTAATTTTGTCCAGGACGATATATGTTGGAGTGTTAGTACTGGATGTCTGTGGGTCAGGTCGCTTTTGTGCTGGCGGTTAGGTACCTTACTCAGGGAAGAGTGGCTTCGAATCACAGCTACAGTATAGACATAGCCGCCTGACATATTTTTTGCTGTGACATTTACTAGAAAAAAATATTTAAGAAGCTCCCAAATTTATTCAGAACTGATATGTAAAGAAATAACATTGTTGAGTTCAATCTTCACAGTAAAGTGTGGGGCGGTTGGGTAGCCTTGTGGTTAAAGTGTTTGCCCGGGATCGATGCTAAAAGCGGCATGGGCATCCGGGGAAGAAATAAATGTGTCCTGAACACCCCATTGCTGGTCGTAAAAAGGCGACCGAAATGGGCAGCCTGTATGCCATGGGCTGCGACCCTCAGTCGGCAGGGGAAGGGAGTCTGGTGGTTGAGGGCGACGGAGCTGGCAATAGTGCTCCTTAGTCCAACACACCACTTCGACCCTAGCTTTACCTAGACGGGCGGGAGAATGGTCCAGATGCTATCAATCGGCTTGTCATGTCATGCCCTGTGCATAAACTATTTCGCACAAATTTTCTTTATCTAAAAATAAATATATTCTAAATGTTTGTCCTGTAAGTATCAAACTTGCTCAGAGCCCAATGCCCTATGCCCAGAAGGCAGTGGCTATCTGGCCAATCCGGTGATGCTGACCTCCGAATTCTGTACTTCTCCAATTGATTGTCATGGGCCGAACCAGCTTAACTTATAATTTGGTAGAATGCTGTAGCTTTTCCTGTCAAACTTGTTGGAGAATACCACAACTATAACCTCGGTCTTTGCAACTTGGAGATCCGCTGCAGCATAAGACTGTCCTTCTTGACACCCCATGGCGGGTGGGGAGAAAGGGGTGCAGAATTACTTTCCTTTCCCAACACCCTGAGTAGTATAGGTAATGGGGGTTCTGCCGCAACTCCACTGGAGCCAGATTTATATACCTATACCTCCACTACAGAGGGAATTTTTCATGCAAAAATGACTATGCGATTCAACGATAGTCATGAGATTAAGTTATATTGACTCTAGCTCACCAATACCTGAAGCCAATCAATGCTTCTATAAGTATAAAAATGATGATGCGATTCAACGAAAGTCGTTTTAAAAGAAATATCAATATTAATTAATAATGAATAAAATTTACTATAGCCCACGAGGATATTGGAAAGGTGTAGGAGCAATACAAAAATTAGCCACCGCAGCTAAGGTATCTAAAGATGTGGCCAAGCATTGGTGAAAGAAACAAGCGATGTGGCAAATATATTTACCGGCACCGCGTTATATACCGAGGAAGAAGTTTGATATTTTTACAACGAATGAAGTTGATCAGGCTGACCTCTTGTTTCTACCCCACGATAAGGTAAGACGCAAAACGTATAAATACGCTTTAACAGTAGTGGATGTGGCTAGTGGATACAAAGAGGCTGAGCCATTAACCTCGAAAGATTCAACAGAAGTAGCTAATGCACTGAGTCGCATATATAAACGCGGACCACTAAAATGGCCAAAGCTATTTCAAGTAGATCAGTAGAAATCAGACGTGGTGAAAAAGAGGCCCACCGTAGTCAAGCTATCGTTGAAAGATTTAACCAGACATTAGCGGAACGTTATCAGTATGGGATCGAAATGAAATCCGAACGATTAAGATCAACCGAATGGGTGACACGATTATCAGCCGTTGTATCAGCGCTGAATAATGAAGTAACGAGATTAATAGGGAAGAAACCATTCGATGCTATTAAAATGAAATCCGTGACTTCCGAATCTTCAGCACCGAGGAGAGGCAAAGAACGAAAACTTCCGGATAGAGTAAGGCAGGGGTCCGGAAAATTTAAAATCCCAATCGGACATTTGCATTTTGGCCACGCCCCCTTCAAATAGCGTATTTCAGTACGACTTTTCACACACATTACAAGTTTACATATTCATAATATGATGAATTATGAATTGTTTCAATTTAAATTGTTTAATTCACCGGACAATTAATAACAAATAATATCATTTTAGATATACATGGAAAACATACGTTTGTTTCTGTTATAATAACGATCTGTTAACGTAGTAAACGGTCTAATTAATATTCATGAGTTATATTCATGAGTCTGCTCAAGTGTATGCCTTGTAACATTTGGATCGAGACTATTATCCCATATTTGGTTATCACGTGACCACACGGGAAAAGTGTTTTTTTAAACTAAAGATTTTTTTAAAACAAGACAGATAATTTAATCACAAATACTAAAATATCGTTGAGAGCAATAGTGATTTGAATACTTTTTTCATCTGTACTTAATTATTGACCATAAAAAAAATTGATATCGATCGTCCGAGAAAGCAAAATGGCGGTCAATCAAGATTCAATATACGACTAGCTACTGAAAACAATAAAATCTGCAAATCTTCATTGTATGTCAACCAAGTGCAAAGTCGTTAGCCACGACTTACAAAATGATCGTCTAGACTTTGAGGGTTTGGCAGATTCGGTCAGTGTAGATAATCTTAATTGTGTTGCAACTGCAGACAGAAACTGCTCAGTCCTAACTGTTGATCATGTGCGGTCAAAATTTAAGAATGTCCGGACAATACTTTTTAAAATGTCCGGTAAGCAATATTTTAAACCGGACATTTAAGATTCCCAATCGGACATGTCCGGCGCATATGACGGTTTCCGGACCCCTGGAGTAAGGGTAAGATATTTATACCAGCCCGGTGAACTCGAAGGAGGCCTACGTCACGCAACCGATCCCATATGGTCCCTTAAAACATATAACATTAGTCGATTGGTTATGAAAGAAGGAGAGCCTATTCTTTATTATCTTCAAGATGGACCGGGTAGGGCATTTGTACGAGAAGAGTTGTTCATAGTTCCCAACGGTACGGTATTACCACCATAACCATAAGCATAGGTAGTTACACCATCCTTATCAATCCATCTCTTTGTATCTAAGGGGGATAATGATGTCTTGTTCATTCTTAATCCATATATCCTATGATTGTAACTTCTGAAAGAGTTCATCTCGTGTTTGAACGTTCTACCGTTGAATAATGATTCTTTATACTGTTCGTGTTTGATATGCTTTTTTGCCACATACTTCTTAACACCCTTAGCTTTTCTTATCTCTCCATTATCGGACTTCTTTATAGAATACATCTTAGGTCTTAATCGGACATACTCAGCTATAGGGGTCCCAGCACATTCATCCTTCATCTTACCTAACACCTTTTTATTTACTACGCTGTGCAGTGGATTATCTTTTGGGTAATCGCTCGTGTCGTACATATCTATTTTTTCTGCCATATCTTTATACACATCCTCGGTTTGTATTTCCATCAACAAAGAATCTGTGTCGGTATATAACACCTCGCATCTATCGCCGTATTGCTTCTTAAGTTCGTTGTAATAAAAGTCATACATTAAGTGTTTTGACAAGTCGAGAATCCTCATACCGACGTACACCGGTCTGTTGAATTTTATATTACTCTTCTGCATATGCAACGCGGCTAAGTCATTATTGAATATCTTGCTTCTGTTAAAAGCCGGACTGGCTATAAGTTTCCTGAGTCTTTCTTCCTCATTAGATCTGACTAATTTAACATCAACACGCTTCCTTAGATTCTCCATAGTTTTACCAAATACTGAGTTATTCATGAGCTTATACAGATTCTTTTCGAAATCGCTGGTAGCTATCTTTCTTAAATCTAGGGCTCCATCCAAGGGCTTTGATCAAACTTTAGAACTCTGTGTATTTTCTTAAGTTTCATACCTAACGATAGATACAACTGGAGATTTCTGTAGTGAACTATATATTTTGTCTTATCAATCAAATTTGGTACGAGTTTTTCTACATTAGCTAACCTACTATTACCCATCAAGGAGCATTGATATTCCGACATCCAATCTTTATTAACCATTAATCTTTTGGGAGCTAGCGGATAACTGTTATGATCTTTATGTAACGAACTTGGATATTCCAAATCAACTTCTAGTATGTACCCTTTATTCGCATCATTCACATTGATATTATGGATATCATTCACTTCGATATCATTCTCATCGACCCACTCAAAACCACCCGTGCGTAAAGGTTGACTCACAGCCCATCCGTACAAATTGTTAGCGTCGAGATATAATATGTGTGTGTCGGGTTTACTCGGATGGTATCCTTCCACTAATTTATTATTAGCCTTAGAATACATTTTCGCTGCCATCGATATACCACCTCTTAATCCTTTCTCAATAAACAAGTGCATATCGTAATCTGTGAGTAGTTTTAGTTCTATGCCGGTCTTCTTCAACAATGCATCCCACGATAGTCCGGGACTGGAATAGTACCATTCCGGGTCCAAGCCGTATTGTTTAAAACATGTCTTTCTAAATATCTCGAATATATCGGCGAGTAACAGTACATCGGTTTTTAAG